ATTCCAAGAAAAACAGCCATGGTTCAATAATAGTTCTTTGACAGACAAGGTGTTCCAGAGGTTTGGGTTTAGACAGATCGTAGACACTACAACCAGATCAGCCATGATCTTATTGAATGGTAGTGCAGACTTGAGGGGCCGAGTGGCCTACTCCTGTTTCTAAGTCTATAATTCCTATGGCAGAGGTTTTGAGAGGAATACAAGAAAATGTTAAACTATCTTGATTTTTTTCCCTTATTCTTAGATGCCCTTCAGAAGGTGGTACTGAGCTGCCTTGTGAGCCACTGCAATCCACGTGCTATAAGTAGGCCCACAATTTTGTTAGAGAGGGCATTCCAAGATCTTGACTCCATGTCACTGAAGGAATGGCAATGTATTTCCAAGTTGGGATAATGAATGGCTTGGAAGGGAACTTGGTGTTCCCTTGTATCTGCTGCCCTTGTCCTTCTAGATGGAAGTGGCCCATGAGTATGGAAGGTGCTATCTAAGGTGCAGTTCTGCAGCGTGTCTTCAGCAAGTGGCATGTCTGACAATATTGCCTGTTACCAGTGTGTAGTGCTAGACTCTGTTTTATGTCCTCCATCCACACAAAGTGGAGATACTCAGTAACACTGCAGGAGAATGACCTGTGTAAAATAGATGATTCTGAGATCTAGTTTAGCCGTGGCTTTGATATGAACCAAAGGAGTGTTGTTCCATCAACAAGGGATTTTCAACAAACCTGCCAATGACAATACAATGATGGGACATCACTATGCATATCCAGCACACGTCCATGAATGCAGAGATTCACTGGTACCCGAGGAGTTTGTGTGGCTGGTAAAATGGTGGTGACACCAATTGGTGCAGGCAGTTAAAGGCTTTATTTTTCAAGTCAGCCCTGTTTTTGCCGATGGTTGGGCAGACTCTTCGCTGCCAAGGCCACCAGTCTCGTGGATGGGCCTGGGGTGCCATTGGAGCTCCAGGCTTTGGGATTGGGGTAGGTGGTGGTTCTGCTGATCTTTCAGAGTTGCTGTCGAAAGAGCCTGGAACTTACCCAGCGAGCTGCTAGTTAAAGCGTTGAGCTGGTTCTGTTGCTGGTAAGCGTTGATTCAGGATCCACATTTCGGCCTGAAGTCTGGATCCCAAAGCCTACGATAAAATCTGCTCTGATTAGTGTCCGGTTTTTTGACAGTTTGACAAAGGGACCTGAGGAGATTTCAGCAGTTTATGTTTGATTGCTAAGGGACGGTTTTCATCAAGCCTCCTTTGATCTAAGAATGTATCATGTTCTATGTAGTAGCTCAGTGATATTTATAATGTGTCATCGTGATTAAATTAAACTCCTTGATGCAAATTTTTACATATTATGTGTTCATTCAATAGTTCAAAACTTGTATAATGCTGAAATAGGACACATTTTGTCGGAGCTTTTGGTCTTGCACTCATCAGGACATTTTGCAAGAATACCAATGTAACGGGGATTGCCATTTTGTACTGTATGAGAAGAGAGTGCTAATTGATTGGCAAGTTTTCTCTGATTGGATGTGTTGCCGTAGAGAATGCACCAGTTACACGACTGGCAGTTAACTGCTAAGCTTTTTTAAAATTTAAACCACATGGGTTGACTCTGGTCAAACCATTCCCTGAGAAATGAATGGGAAAATGACTTATTTATTTTGTAACTATTTTAACTGAACAATGTATGTACATGTCCTTTCTGTCTTCAACGAGCAGGGTGCTGTTGTGAGGATCGTTCTTGTGTGTGTCTGATTTACTTGCTTGGAATCATTTTACACTAATAACAAGACACGGTTTACCATGCGCCTTGGTTTATTATCTTTGAGCGAATGAAATCTTGTTTGGTAGATCATATTTTTAATTTTTGCAATGGTTAATGTAATGGTTCTTCAGTGAAACATGAGGCTGCAGATGTTCTTTCACAACACAGCATAAGATTATTGCATGAAGGAAAATAAAACAAACCAATGTACACAGAATACTTGGATCTTGACACAAATAGCAAAACAAAATTTCAATGTGTTTCCCAACACTATCGTTTATCAATACCACTCTGGAATTGTGTATCTTTCTTACCACATTCTCTTTAGTTTTTATTTAACTGGGTCTCATAGTTTTTTTTTCATGAAATGTAGACACAATTTTATAATTCCTTTTCCAGGTTCTCGGGCATGAACCTTTTCACAATTCTGATGGCCCACTGTTTTTCAAATCTTGAAGATTTCTATCCAAACTTCCCTGGCTCTGAAACTACACAAACTAAAATACACTGGCTGTAGTGACTGGTTTCCCTGAACTAAATGCCTGAATATCCTGCTGGAAGAGACTGTTCTTCCTTCTGGACTGAACTCCTGCATCTTCTGAAGTGACCTCAGAAGCTAAAACAAATGTCTCTCTCTTGTAATATCAGCCATAGAAGCTGTACAGGACGTTGGTTCGGCCACTTTAGAATACTATGTTCAATTCCTGTCTCCCTGTTGTGAAACTTGAGAGGGTTCAGAACAGAATTACAAGGATGCTGCTGGGGTTAGAGGATTTGAGCCATAGGGAGGGACTGAATAGGCTGGAGCTATTTTCCCTGGAGCATCGGAGTCTGAGGAGTGACCGTCTAGAGGTTTGTAAAATCATGAAGGGCATGGATAGTGGGTAGGGGAGTCCAAAACTGGAGGGCACAAGGTGAGAGGGGAAAGATTTAAAAGGGACCTAAGGGGCTGATTGAATGGAATGAGCTGCCAGAGGAAGTGGTGGAGGCTGGTACAATTACAGCATTTACATGGCATCTGGATGGGTATATGAAAGGGAAGGGTTTAGAGGGATGTGGGCCAAATGCAGGCAAATGGGACTAGTTTAATTTAGGATATCTGGTCGGCATGGATAAGTTGGACTGAAGGATCTGTTTCCATGCTGTACATCTCTATAACTCTGTCTTTATCACCTTGTTAGAACCCTTTTATAAGTGAGTCATCCATCTATGACTCTAAGTATTTCCATCCATAGACATTACAGAGGTCCTGTCAGGCACTTGACCTGCTGTCACATGATATTGTGGAGTTGATTAAGTTAGGTCATTTGTTACAAATGAATTTCTGACCTGGTTAAAACAAAATTACCTTCACAGAACTGATCAATCCTTCTGACTCTGTTTTGAAACCTGCACCCCAGAATGTGTATTATATACACTTTTCCTCACTTGGGGATATCACTTATGTATATCCGGCATCCCGTACATGCATGGACGCAGTAAATTGTGAGGATGCACCCAATCCAATAAATCATCTAGGAGCTTGTTATTCTTACACAACTCTAACTAGTGTTTTTTTAAAATGGATTTTGACTGAGCCTGTACACACTTGCTGGGTTTTGGGTTCAATGGATGTAAATTTGGACATGCCATTAAAAATGGATGTATTTTGTTGACATAGTCATGCATCTTAATGGTGGCTATTCCTCTCTCTTTGTGGGGCCTAAAGGTGTGTCCAGATTGTCCTTGAGGCCTCTCAATGCTGCTCAATGTTTGCATACAAGTGAAAATTGGAGAAATCACTCAGAATCCTGCTGTATACATTCACCAGATCAGCTAGGCATGCTTTCAAGGAATCAGCATCTTTAGTAGATGCCAGTTTATGGCAGGATTGCTGGGAGTAGCGAAATTCAAACAGATATTCTTGCCACTTGTCCTGACGAGTGCAGGACAGAACGCTTTGACGTAATGTGTCTTTTTAAAAAATATTCTTTAAGATAACATCTTGAAGAATTTGCTTTTTATTCAAACTCTGCTTTGTGGAACACAGCTGAGATGCACCTTCATCAAAATAAAGGCTTGATATCTGAGTAATGAATTGTACAGGATGTTTGAGAGATATGTACATCATTTCAATTTCACCCCATTAATCAGCTGTTTCACACAACTCTTTAGTAATTGTTGATCCCTGCATTGTCTTTGAAGAGACGTGACAGTATATCCTTGAACATATTAATAATCTGTCCCATTTTCCATGTCAGACAATTAATATTTTGAATGTTTGATTGAACAGCAATGCTATATTTGTGTACAGCATCAGAATTATCTGCATTATTTCTCTCTTGGAGGTTTATATATAGACCCTATCCTGTCACTGGAGAGAATGTTATCCTCCCACACTTTGACTGGAAATAGAGGTTTTGTGGAGTCATTGAAACGTTTTGATTTGCAGGGATTTCTAACAATCAATGTTCTGTCAGTGAAACATGTCATAAATAAAACATTTGCAGTCCAACCTTGCCATTTGTTTGTCTACCTTTCATGAATTTGCTTGTCTGCACAAAACCTACAGTGCAGCTTGTTGCCTGTTGAGTATCTTAATTTTTGTTTATCCACAGTTTTTAAGTAAAACAAATTAAGGATAATATTCTTTCTGTAGTGAAGAGTGTACAGTGCATATATGGCTCGTAATGCGCACTCACAGTCTGCCATGTTCGGTGTTTGCAAACATAGCATTTTTCAAGAACGCAATCCCCACACATGGTGAAACTTCATAGGGTTTTTGGACGCTTGGTTTGTGATGCAGAGTAACGCCAACAGTGTGGGTTCAATTCCTGCTCCAGCTAAGGTTACCATGAAGGTCCCACCTTTTCAACCTCTCTCTTCCCTTGACCTGGTGGTGACCCTCAGGTCAAACCACCACCCGCCATCTCTCTCTCTCTCTCTCTCTCTCTCTCCCCCCCCCCTATCGAGAGAGCAGCCCTACTGTCCTCTGGGACTACGTCGACTTTGCGTATGTCTCATATCACTAGTTTCTCTGGAATCTTGTTGCACATGGAGTGGTTTCAGGTCTCGTTTACGTAGCAGATGTGATGTCTTTAGTCGTGTTCTGAAGAACTTTAAACCAATTTTTGGACAGTTCTGACAAAGTGCTGTGTAAATGTTGATGAGACCGATGTATAGCTCCTGAATGACGTGCTTGCCAGGGAAATGCTGGTAATTACACTTTCTCTTTTCGGATGTGCTTTATTTATTTCAGCGACAGCAACTTGAACCACTTGGTGATGGACTCGGAGTCCGAGATGGACAGCACCGAACAGTTGGCACTGGGGAGCACCGACACTTTGGCCAATGGCAGCAAGACTGACCAGGAGGCTGCCAAGCGATTGGCCAAACGCCTCTATTACCTCGACGGGTTCAAGAGGTCTGATGTGGCTCGACATTTGGGCAAGAAGTGAGTGATTGCTGGAAAATGCAGGGGGAGAGAGAGACAGAGGAAAGAGGAGAGAAGCTGGCAGTGCAGTTCTTGCTCGAACTGTTGGAGAGGTCACAACTGGGACACTGTGCGCAGTTTGGGACCCAGTATTTAAGAAAGGATGTACTGCATTGGAGACAGTTCAAAAGAGATTTACTTTGACCGATTCCCGGGTAAAAGGCGTTGACTTATCAAGAACATTTAAAGAGGTTCGGCCTTTTAATTGTTAATTAAAAGAATGAGGGGTGATCTGATTGAAACTTACAAGATTCTGAAGGAGCTTGACAGTGAATGTTTCCATTAGTGGGCCGATCTCGAACTAGTTCAGAATAAGTGGACATAGGACATAGAACATAGAACGTACAGGCCCTTCGGCCCATGATGTTGTGCCAAACTTTTACCCTAAACCTAAGGTCTATCTAACCTCCACCCCTATCTTATACTATCTTCTATATGGCTACCTAATAGCCGCTTAAATGCTCCTAATGAGGCTGACTCCACTACCCTCTCCGGCTATGCATTCCACGTCCCTACCACTCTGAGTAAAGAACCTACCTCTGACGTCTCCCCTATATCTACCTCCACTCACTTTAAAACTATGCCCCCTCATAATAGCTACCTCCACCCTAGGAAAAAGTCTCTGGCTGTCAATTCTATCTATACCTCTGATCATTTTGTACACCTCTATCAAGTCACCTGTCATCCTTCGTCGTTCTAAAGAGAAAAGCCCTAGCGCTCTCAACCTTTCCTCGTAAGACCTTCCCAACATCCTGGTAAATCTCCTTTGCACCTTTTCCAACACTTCCACATCTTTCCTGTAATGAGGCGACCAGAACTGGACACAATACTCCAGATGTGGCCAAACCAGGATTTTGATATCTATTTAAAACAGATGTAAAGGAATCTCTTTTCAAAGGGTACTTCACGTCTGGAATTCCCTAACCAGGAGAGTTGTGGAGTCCAGGTCACAAAGTATTTACAGACGAGGTGCCTCGAGTTTTGAAATATTGAGGAGTTGAGAGCCGTGAGGAGCTGTCACAAAAGAGGAGTTGAGGGTCTGGGCAGATCAACTGTGATTTTATACAATGGCAAGGCAGACTCGCGGGGCTGAATGGTCTGCCCCTGTTCCTTTTTTAAACATTTTTTTGTGTGGGAGAAAGGGGTTTTTAACAAAATGTCTGTGCAATAGAACATGTGCCAGAGAAGTGGGCACTCTGTCTGATTTTCATGCAGCCATTTACATTATTGCCTCCATTATTGTAACAAACATTAAGAAAGGGAAACTAACAAGATATGATAGTGGTGCAGTGCACTGAATACTCCAGTTTCTGCTCCGTTTCTTCTATAGCAGAACAATAAAAACACACCTGGAACAACAGGCACTGTGCTGTGGTTTCAGGATAATTATTGAATTTGAGTTAGCAGCTCATTGTAACCTTCTTAGGCTTTGCTATTGGCATTTGCAATGTGACTTTTGCAAATGCTTTTAGTCTCATATTGTTATGGTATAAATTGTCCAAACAGGTTCAGACTGTTAAGAAACCAACACGTGGGTTTTACAAAGTTCCAGTTTACCTTTATCACACCATCAGAGGGTGCTACTGTATCAATGTTTTAAAATGTTTCTATCAAGTTGTGATGAATTTCCTCGCTTATCCTCCTCCACACAATCTCTCTCTGCCTTCTCTCCTCTTATCTTTCCTCTCCCTTTTCTCCTCTTCCTCCTTTTTCCTTCCTCTCTTCTCATCAACTTTTCTTCCGTTTCTGCAATCCGTTCTCCTGTTCTCATTCTATCACTGACTTCCTTTCTGTCCTTTATAAGTATCCTTATTGTGCATTTTGTAAAATTCCACCTCAGTTTACTATTTACTGTTAGCTCCTCTCTCACTTCAATCCCATTGCCGTTTCATGTTTGCTTCTTCTCTTTGCATTTCTTCCTATGTTGAGTCTCTTTCTGTTTCTTCTCTGGATCCACAATTCCTGTTTTGTAAACATTTTAAACAGACTTTTGCCTCTGTCATTCTCTCTCTGACCCCACTTGCAATTGTCTTCCATATTCTGTCCTCTCACTCTTACTCTCTCATTCATTCTCTCTCTCTTTCGCTCTCTCGCTCGTTTGCTCACCAGGGACCTGGGTTCAATTCCACCCTCGGGCAACTGTCTGCATGGAGTTTCCTCTGGGTGCTCTGGTTTCCTCCCACAGTCCAAAGATGTGCAGGTTAGGGTGGATTGGCTGGGCTAAATTGCCCGTAGTGTCCAGGGACACGCAGGGTTACAGGGTGGTGTGGGTGGGGGCTGTGGGTCTGGGTGAGACGCTCTTCAGAGGGCTGATGTGGACTCAATGGGCCGAATGGCCTGCTTCCACACAGTAGGGATTCTATGAATCTGAAAACAAGGTGCAATTTGGGATGCAGTTTGTGCCAGTTTTACTGATTTGCAAACAAGGCCAAAGCTCTAACCTTCTTTCTTTTCTGTCACTTTTCCTCTCTCTGCTGCCCGTCTCTCATTCTCTCTGTTTTCGCTCTGTCTTCTTGTTTCAGTAATGACTTCAGTAAGATGGTGGCTGAGGAATACCTGAGGTTTTTTGACTTCACGGGAATGAGTCTGGATCAAGCTCTGAGGTAAGAGACAGACCAGTGCACCGAATACCCTTCGAAAACCAGATAAATCTGAGTCTTTTTACATTAAAATGTCCAAAAAAGAGTCAGACATGTTTTGATTAAAAAGTCATAAACATTGAGGTTTCTTTTAGCCACTTCACTTCAATCTGGCTAAAATGGTTAGATAAATAAAATCTGTTTGAACTCAGTCACCTGGCCCTCTAGATACCATTTCATGCACATGTGCAGCACACAAACGTCTTCCAGTATTGGGCCAGAGAGAGAGAGAGAGGGAGGGAGAATGGAGTGACTTTTATACAAATAGTTGATAGTATAAAACTCAAATATTGTGGATAAAAGAGGCATGTTGTCAAATCTTTTCATGTTGCACTCATCAGGACACCTGCAAGAACGCCAAATTTCAAAGGGAACAACAATTTATACTGCATGAGGAAAGGGTGCTGATTGGTTGGCAAGTCCACTTTGGTTGAGGTGTCACCATAGAGAATGCACCATTTGAACTATTGTCGCTGGGCTTTTGTTTCCTTGAGAAAGAGCACAATGCCTGTAAATATTTCCTTTTGACTGCAGAGTACAGGTGCCTGCTTGTGATTTGAATATGTGATTAAGCCACGGTCTTGATTGTCTTTTCACAGAGCTTTCTTGAAGGAGTTTGCACTAATGGGAGAGACACAGGAGAGGGAGCGAGTGCTGATCCACTTTTCACACAGATACCACCAGTGCAACCCTGGGGCCATATCTGCAGAGGGTAAGGTGCTGGTCCTGTGCTAATTGAGGTTGGCAGGAGGGATCCTAGCCAACTGCGTGGGTTTGGTGGTAGTTTGGAGGACAGAGATGAGGGAGGAACCTTTCCTGCTAGAATGGGGAATGGCACCTCCAACCTACTGGCCTTCAAGTGTAAAATGGCCATTCAGAGGACCTTTTAACTGTCTAAATTGGCTGCCAGTTTCTACATCACAGCCCACTGCTAGGAGACCTTCCCTGTAGTGTGGAAGTAGGCCATTCGGCTCATCAAGTTCATGCCAACCCTTCCAAATAGCATCCCGCTCAGACCTACCCTATCCCAGTATCCCTGCATTACATGGCCAATCCACCCTAACCTGCACATCTGTGGACTGTGGGAGGAAACTGGAGCACCCGGAGGAAACCCTCGCAGACACGGGGAGAATGTGCAAACTCCACACAGACAGTCGCCTGAAAGTGGGATCGAACCTGGGTCCCTGGTGCTGTGAGGCAGCAGTGCTAACCACTAAGCCACCGTGCTGGTGGGACTGCTTCTGGAGGGCATCCCACCTTGGCTCCTTGTGTTTTTTGTGACCTCCTCCACCCCAGAGTCTGGCTCTCCGTCCGATCCCCGGGAAGGTGCCATCCCCGTACTCCTTCCATCAAGTTAAAAGATCCTGTCATAGCAGCATAAGCTTTGGAAGCTGATGTATGACCAATACTTTCCGTACAAACGAACATTGAAATGGTTTAAATTGTAAATTTAATCTGCCTAAAAATATGCTCCATTGACCTGTTTCCAAATCTCCAGGGTTGGCCTGGAGTCTCCAGGAGTTAAAGTTGGACACTGCTGTGAGCACTTTCTGCAGGAAAATCATGGGGACGTTACAACAAAATGTGTTTTTGTTTCATTTTAATTTTCTTTCTGTCTATAATTTGGATATAAATTGGAGATGGGCCAGGAGGGGTTGCAAAGATAAAGCTGATTAATAGGCTACAACATAAGGCCAATCAGAGTTTTGGAGGATGGGGGTGAAAGGTCATCAGGTGTTGGTGAGAATGTCGATTTGAGGTTATAATCAGATCAGTTATGATCTTATTGAATGGTGGAGCAAGCCTGAGGGGCTGAATGGCCTATTCCTGCTCTTAATGTGTGTGTTTGTTTAATGTGTAACATAACAAGAACCCTGTAGCAATTAAACAGAATGAGAATTAGAATTAGGTTTATTGTCACGTGTGCTCAAGTTACAAAAGAACAGGATTACAGTGAAAAGTGTACAACACACACTGCTATCTTAGGGACAAAGTACTGAGGCACAATCTTTGGTACAAAAAATTGAGAGCATAATGAAAGAAAGTTGCACTACATTACAGGTATACGTGGTATAAGTTAGGAAAATAAGAAATAAATGTAAAAAGATAGACATACAGAGTTCTTTGAACTTAAAGTGTGATTATTAACAACACAGCAATTCCAAAATAAACTTCTTGAGGGTCCATTTGAGTCTTTCCACTCCCCACATCCACTATCCCTAACGGTTGCTCAAGGTGAGAGTCTGACCAACAAGTGGACGATTTCTTTCTTGTTTTTGAGGTAGTTTGAGACTTATGGAAAAAAAACTCCACCTGTTCCAGATTTGTTAAAATGTGTG